TGACATTTCTGTATGGAAATATTAGAGTATATGTACGTACCTATTATCGTTTTTATGAATATTTAGATTTTTGATTTCATTTGAGTAATTTTGTTGTATTTTTTGCCATTTTCTTATATTTTTAATGTCCATAGTTTTTATGAATTTTAATTAAATTTTTAATTTGAATTATATTTAGATTTTTAAACTTAATTTTTTTTAATCAAATGAAGTTTTTTTAACGTCTATAATTTTTATTCCATTTTAGTTATTTTAGTACATTTAGTTAAATTAAATGAAAATGAGAACAAAAAGTATTTTATTTCAATTGAAGTAATGAAAATGTTATTTATGTTTTTATTTTACTAGTCTAGCTTTATAATACAACATTGTACATTATCAATAATATTGACTCTGAAATTGAAATTGCTTATGTTCCTTTATTTTGAGTGATTTGGGATAAAAGCATCTGCTAAATGCATGTGTAAATACTCATTTAAATTAAAAGAAAAAAGTAGGCTGCAGATGCACTTGTTTTGAAGTAAACTACCAAATGAAATCGTTCCAATCTCACGACAAATATTTGCGTTTATTATTAATTTCACTGATAAATGTGATTTAATGCAAGAACAAAAATACCACACATCACTCGAACCTTCCGGGCAACACTTACTCTGACACCTCCATTACTGCAATATTCTTCAGATAACACAGCATATGGCCTGTTGCTACGGCGACTCCTTCTTAATTACAATATTCCTCTTCGAAATAAAAGTCGCTTTCAATGCGCTGACCTTTAGGAAACAAGAGAGACTGTGAAACCCAGAAGGTCTAAACTTTCTGCTCACAATATGCTCAGCAAAAGCTGTTAATTCTTCATTAAGAGAAAGTAGTTGTGTTACTCTGCATGTGTGTATGAATGTGATACATATATGTATCACCGTAACAGATATGAAATAAATATAAACACAAGACTTACTGTACATAACTATATCATGTATGAGTGTCACATACATCATTTAAAATCCAAAATATATATTCATAATAAAGAGGTGGATGGGGGGGACCCTTAAACAAACAACATACAAGCATCTGCTTTGATGCCCTGATGATCATTTTCACTTCAACATGTTTGCTGCGTGAAAATTGAATATGGTGTAAGCGAGGTGTTATGCTGCTAGGTTTTTGTTAGTGCTGTTTTTAATCTGTTAAAGTTTTGTTCTGGCAGGCCCCAAACTGCTACAACACCTCTCATAAACACAATATATATATGATAGACTAGTCTTAAACTAAAACTAAAGAACACAATAACTTCCTAAGAAGCAACCGTACACTTATATTAGACAATTTTGTCTCATATTTCTGTTGATAGATACTGTACGATGAGGACAGGAGTGTAAGGAACCAGGTAAACAAAAAGAAGAAGAAAAACAAAGTGTTCATGATTACTTCAGTTAACTAAAATAATATGATATCAAATACCTGTTTGCCATTTCGAGCAGACTGTTTCTGTACTGCTAAAACGACCGGAAGCGAATGACACCGGAAGCCTCGCACATTCGCGTTACAAATGGCCGCGTCCACTCTAAAATATGTGAATGTTGAATTACAATTCAATTAAAAGGCATACAAAACGTGTTTTTTTTTTTTTACAGTGGCATCTAATAACAAATGGCTTCTTTCACAAACGTCTGTTACAGCTATCCTCGCACATTCGCGTTACAAATGGCCGCGTCCACTCTAAAATATGTGAATGTTGAATTACAATTCAATTAAAAGGCATACAAAACGTGTTTTTTTTTTTACAGTGGCATCTAATAACAAATGGCTTCTTTCACAAACGTCTGTTACAGCTATCCACTGTAATTACGACAGTTATGTTCAATATATTCAATATATTAAAATAATATAACAAATACCTGTTCGCATTTGCAATATCAAGCAGATTGTGAATCAACATTCACCGCTAAAAAGACCAGAAGCAAATGACAAGGAAAGCCTGGCACATTTAAATTACAAATGGCCACCTCCACTCAAAAATATGAATGTTTGAATTAAAAGAAGGTTAAAATGGATACATTAAACCACCTGTATGTGAGTTGTTGGTTTTTTTACCTTGAAATATGAGTTTCAAAATCACTCTAATGGTACAGTGGCATCTAATAAGGTGAATAGGTCCTGTTTCTTTCACAAATGTCTGTTCTAGGAGTTTGTAAGTTTGATGAGCGGGTACGAAATTCCGCGAAAAAGATGGATTACTTTAAGGCAGCCACAAATGCACGTGTACAATTATCCACTGTAATTACGCCAGTGATTTTCATTCACTTAAAGGGGTCATATGATGCTATTTTAAAGATCATTATTTTGTGTATTTGGTGTAACAGAATATGTTGACATGCTTTAATGTTCAAAAAACACATTATTTTTCAAATACTGTACATTATTGTAGGTCCTCTATGCCCCGCCTCTCTCAAACGCTTCGTTTTCTACAAAGTCCCTCCTTCCGACAAGCGCAGTCTGCTCTGATTGGCCAGCTGACCCAGTGCATTGTGATTGGCCGAACACCACAAGCACTCGTCGGAAATGTAACGCCCCTAGAAAATCTAATGCAAAGAAATTTCTTACTGTCTGAATTCTATGTGGGGTCATCCATGCTACTTTCCTTCATTTAACAGTGCCACCTAGTGGCAGATTTTATTTTAGTACTGTTAATAATAATAATACTAGTTAAGAGGATTCCTTTTCCCATCATCATTTACTCACCAAATAGTCACAAACCTGTATGGGGTTCTTTCTTCTGAGGAATACAAAAATAGAGGTTGACGCTGCTCTTCTCCATAAATTGAGAGGATAATCTATCAGTGTAGCCTATACTGCGCGTAGTACAGCAAGCATTACCTTCTTTAGAGAAAATCAGTTCTGTCATAATTACAGTGACACCTAGTGGCAGAATTTGCCGCAATCTTCACCTATTACCATAATATTAAAGGGGTCATATGATGCTATTTCAATTTTTCCTTTCTCTTTGGAGTGTTACAAGCTACACACACACACACAGTCTCGTTCTCTCTCTCCCCCACACACACACACACACACACACACACACACACACACAGCCTCGTACTCTCTCTTTCACACACAAACACACACACACACACAGTCTCATACTCTCTCTCACACACGCAAATACACACACACACACACACACAGTCTCGTACTCTCTCTCACCCACACAAACACACACACACACACACACTGAAGCATCATCTCAGCACATGCCGTCACATTCATCTGCCACATGATCTCTGGTAATAGTCTGAATCTACAGGAAGCTTTACTGTAAACCACAAGAAGGCAAACTAAATCATGTGACCCATATAACCAAATTACAATTTGCTTCATTTCAGAAGAAATGCATATCCATTACTTACTCGCATTTCGTCTGGGTAAACAATGCTATTAATTTTGCTGTGCAAAAATATGGAGGGAGGAAGGGGGGGGGGGGAAGACATTTTTTTACATTAATAACTCTGGTAAATAATATACATAAATGAGATACAGAATTGTACAGATTTTGTATAAATAAAATACAATTCAGAAGCTCAACTTTACTCACGTCACACCCTCAGAAAAAGAAACACATCCAGTCGCTGCATGCATTCGTTTATCCAGTCACATATCCCATCTCAGACTCACTCATTCAGAGAAACCATATTTACAACAAAACAGATGAAATAAATAGAAGAAAGAACAGAGTTAAATGTTTCAGTTAACAGACTCTGTTAAATCTCCTGAATGCTGAACATACAAATCAACAGGTTTAAATGTTACAGGTCACATTTAACCCTGAAATCAAACAGAAAATAAATCAGAAGCTATATTTTGGATTATGAAGCATATTTTATGCTTACATTATTTTCATGGCAATTAACCACATTTTCCCATTGACATAAAAAAAAATGAAAAAAAAATGTTTTCCCCGGAATTACTAGAATGTAAAAAACAATTAAATATAATATAATTGTTTTTTACATTCTAGTAATTCCAAAAAATATATATATATTTTTCATTAATTTTTAAGATAGCAAATGTGTGTGTGTGTGTGTGTGTGTATTTGGTATAGTACACTACTATTTAAAAGTTTGAGGTGAGTTTTTTTTTAAGAAATTAAACGGAAATTAAACTTTTATTCAGCAAGAATGCATTAAATTGATCATAAGTGACAGTAAAGACATTTCTAATGTTACAAAAGATTTTGATTTTAATTAAATGTTATTTTATAATGATTTCTGAAGGATCATGTGACACTGCAGACTGGAGTAATGATGCTGAAAATTCAGCTTTGCATCACAGGAATAAATTACACACAAAAAAAAAACTTACTAAAATAGAAAATTCACAATATTACCGTTTTAACTGCATTTTTCATCACATAAATGCAGCACTGGTGAGCGTAAGAGACTTCTATTATATAAAAAAATTGTACTGACCCCAAACCTTTGAACAGTGTGTGTGTGTTTTTATGGCCTTCAATTTATGCTCATTTATCTAATGCAATCATTGTATTTGAGTATTTTTAACAATCTATTCCACATTCTTTATAGTCCTAAAAACTGGGTTCTTTTCGTCATGCAAAAATGTCATTTCTTATTTGTGACCCTGGACCACAAAACCAGTCAAAAAATTTTTTAAATTGAGATTTATAAACCATCTGAAAGCTGAATAAATGATGGTTATGATAGGACAATATTTGGCAGAGATACAACTATTTGAAAATCTGGAATCTGAAGGTGCAAAAAAATCTAAATATTGAGAAAATTGCCTTTAAAGTTGTTCAAATGAAGTTCTTAGCAATGCATATCACTAATCAAAAATTAAGTTTTGATATGTTTACGGTAGGAAATTTACAAAATATCTTCATGAAACATGATCTTTATTTAATATTCTAATGATTTTTAGCATAAAAGAAAAATCGTTAATTTTGACCCCCATACAATGTATTTTAGGCTATTGCTACAAACATACCCCAGCAACTTAAGACTGGTTTTGTGCTCCAGGGTCACATTTGTTTATGTTTGATTTCAGGGTGATACATGCCCTGGACATGTTCTCTTCAGGTTTCTTGAGATGACCTGCTCAAAGGACAGAGAAAAGCTTGTCACAAACCCCCAGGAAACCAGCAAAAATGACATACGGTGTAATATACAGGTATTGCGGAGCGAGCACAGTGATATGGCTATGACTTACACACTACTATATGGTCAGTTATAAGACTTACATCGTCTACGGTGACTGCTAGTTTGTGTGTTCCTGTAGAAGACGTTTCAGTTCGGTTCGCTTTCAGAAAGACTACATGAAGAAAGGCATCCGAAGGTAAGCGAGAGAAGGAAAAATCTTAGGATCAGGCGTTTTCTACTCCACAGCCGCACACAGATGTGCACGAATAGGAAATACTGCCACTTCGTACGGCTTTTCTCAAGTTATAAAAGCTCTGATCTAAACGCAGACAGTCATTTACAATAGTAATACATATACATAGGGTTCCATATATGCGCCCTCTATTAGCAGATGAGGTGAACAAACGTGTGTCGGAGCATGTTTGCTGAAATGCATCAGTCCATGTCAGGAAGAGTGCATTTCAAATAGCTGAACACAACATCGCTATTGTCAAAAGCCGAATATTGTTCACAGGTGCAAATGCTGCTAAGATTAGTTATGTACAGTTTACTGCAGGCCACATATTATATATATATATATATATGTATATTTAGATATAAATCACAGTTTGAGCTTTATACACATACCAAGTGATCTGACTGCAAGGCTGCGGAAAAACATAGAAAGCATTTGAAATGGAGGTTTTAATAAGAATCCTTACGTTCAGCTGCTGCATGCTTTTCTTAGTGGATGCAACCGTTGCACTTTAAAGGTTTGGGAAGGAAATCTGGTTCTGTAAATAAAACAGACCAGACAAAAGCAGCTGTTGTCTCTCGTCCGTTTTGTCCTTCATCATTCAGAGAGATCAGTCTTATGAAAGTCTGGAGATTTGGAGGGGATAGAGGCCGGACACTAAGCATTAGCCGTGTCCTCTAGAGGGTGCCGTAGTCCTTCAGAACCGAGCGCTCTCCTGATGGCAAGTTCATCGCTCTGTGTCTGGCCTCAAGACGCCACTGGAAGTCACTCTAGGCATTTGCACTTTCTGTTAAAAGCAGATTGAAGACATTTAGATCAGTCGAAGATTGCATCAGAAGATAGCAAAAAAGTGACACTGAAAAATGCCTGAATGTCATTGCATTATCAAGTATCTGCATGTCTTGGATGCTCCTGCACTAACGTTGCTTTTCTTCATTAATTTTATAATCTCAATGTCTTTTTGTTAAATGTCAATTGTCAAAATTGGTGGATCTTGTTCCCCACAAATTCACACAAGTGTCCTAACAGAGGAACCACATGATCAACTAACTACAAACAAATACAAATTTACAAAATACTTTGTCTTCATTCTGAACATTCAAATATTTGGGGTCGGTACAATTTTATAAATATAATAGAATATGCTCACTAGGGCAGCATTTATTTGATGAAAATGCAATTTATTAAATTATTAAAATTTTAAATAACTGTTTGAGTATATAGTAAAAATGTAATTTATTCCTGTGATGCAAAGCAGAATTTTCAGCATCATTACTCCCATCTTCAGTGTCACATAATCCTTCAGAAAACATTCTATCATGCTGATTTGATTCTCAAGAAAAAAATCGTATTACCAATGCTTCATATTGTTGTAAAAATATATGTAATATTTCAGAATTTTTTATGAACATAAAATTGAAAACAACAGCATTTACTTGAAAAAAAATTCATTACAAAGATCTTTACTGTCACTTTAATGCATCTTTGCTGAATATTTCCTCAAACTTTTGAACCGTAGTGTATCTTATACAAGCTTATTTTTGTGGAATGTTTTTCTATCTTTCTTTAAAAATGTCACTTGTTTTGATATTTTATTATATGATGCATTAACATTCAGACATTAATTGTCTAATATGTTGTTAGTGTCACTGTAAGTATTAGCAACAGAAGTCTCTGTTACAGAATAAACGTGTGTGTTTACCATCGCGTGTTCTCTTGTCTTCATCTGCTGGTGATTCTGCCTCTTCAGACACTTCTCCTGTTTACAGACATCAGATTATTAGAGATGAACAGACAAAAAAAAACTAAAAACTAAAAAAAATCACCACACACACTGTAGCAATACAGTAAAACATTTTCAGAATGGCATACTACAATACTACTTTGACTACTTTTTCAAAATATAGACAAGTGTCAGTGGCGATAGCCTCGCGGGCAGCACGCCGACATTTAGCGCCGTTACGCTTCGGGCGTCCCGAGTTCGAGTCCCGGCTTGCTGACCTTTCCTGATCCCGCCCCCCTCTCTCTCCCACTTCACTTTCTGTCTACCGACTGTCCTATCAAAATAAAGGTAATAAACGGCAAAAATAAATCTAAAAAAAAAATATATACTATAGCATAAATAAATATATATATAGTACTGTGCACAAGTATGCATATTCTCATGATACACTGAATAACCACATGCATACCAAAATACAATGCATTATTAAACTTCTATTTCTAAAGTGACTTTTTTTTTAACAAATCTATCTCTAGATAGATAGATAGATAGAAGGTTATGTGATTATTGAGTACTGAGTATATAATGCACAGTATGCATTAAGCAGTATGCTATTACTCTATTCTGCACATAGCATTATTCTTATTACTCCTCTGATCTATAGCATAAATAAATATATATATAGTACTGTGCACAAGTATGCATATTCTCATGATACACTGAATAACCACATGCATATCAAAATACAATGCACTAATTAAACTTCTATTTCTAAAGTGACTTTTTTTTAAACAAATCTATCTCTAGATAGATAGATAGATAGAAGGTTATGTGATTATTGAGTACTGAGTATATAATGCACAGTATGCATTAAGCAGTATGCTATTACTCTATTCTGCACATAGCATTATTCTTATTACTCCTCTGATTATCCACCAGAGGGCAGTCAATACTAAAAGTTACACCTGAGCAACATTAACTGAGCTGATGGTAACAATTATACCATTGAACACAATACCGTTCTGTAAGTTCTGATGTGCCTCTTCGTTATTTGATTTGTCATGGGGACTTTCTTCTGGGGGTCCATTTACCCCCCCTGGCTCCGGGTCGTCCTCTCCCCCCCTGTCTTCCTTTGGTCCCGACAGCTCTGGGTCTTTTTTGTGCTCCTGGTTTTCTGCTGTTGCCTCCTGCTGTTCCTCCTGCTCTCGTTTGGCCTTCTCCTCCGTCTCTGATTGGAGACACAGCAGGAGGTGCATTATTCACTATTTGCTTACTCAGAATGCATAAAATGTGCAAAATGCTACAAAAGTTTGGATGTACTGTAACAGTTCAGAACTATTTTCCCAGTTTAAGTCATCAAACTATGAAATAATTCCCAATCTTCAATTTGTGCTTCTCATCTCAACATTTTCACACCCAAATTCACAAGGTGCATCCTGGGTTTTTAAACACTATTGAAGGCGTTTACATGCATCATGGACACTTAATGGTTAATTTTCCTATCCAATCCAACTCCATTCACACATTGTATACATGTTTGTATAGAAACATGTATAGAAATTTGTACATGTATAGAAATGTATGCATAGGCAAAATTAATACATTTGTCAATAACTAATTTCAAGCAGAAGCTTTTACATCAAAAGATTGTTCAGATCAGTGAGAAACAAATTCACGTTTTATTTTATACTAATTTATTACACTACCATTCGTTTCAGTAAGATTTTTTGAAAGTCTCTTCTGCTCACCAAGGCTGCATTTATTTAATCAAAAAGACATTAAAACAGTAATATTGTAAAATTGTATTACAATTTAAAAGACCTATTTTCATATTTTACAATTTTCAGCATCATTAAACCAGTCTTCAGTGTCACGTGATCCTTCAGAAATCATTCTGATTTGCAGCTCAATTAACATTTTGTATTTTCTCCTAAATAAAACACAATTATCTTAATTTCATACTAATTTTGTGCTGCCATTGAGTTGTTTGTAATATACTAATCCATTTTTAAGACGTTTTCACTTTAAACCATCACTTTTTGTTTCAGTCCATAATCTATAATACTTCAGTAAAAAAGTTCATCACCTGTTGTCCTCCTCTCACATCAAAATCTAACATCATATTTGTTTAGAACTGTTTTTTGCTTGTAAACGGTGCTTGACCTGTAAATATTTCTCACCTGATTCAGACAAGATTACTTTTTTCACTGGAGAAAGCCATATTATGGATAGAGGGCTCGTATTTTAGCTGGAAGCAACAGTTTGAAGTTAAAAACCTCTTAATGATGGATGTATTTGTTTCTTACAAACATGCAGCTTTTCACTTCACAAGACATTTATTGATGGACTGGAGTGGTGTGGATTACTTGTGGATTATTGTGATGTTTTTATCAGCTGTTTGGACTCTCATTCTGACAGCACCCATTCACTACTGAGGATCCATTGGTGAGCAAGTGATGTAATGCTACATTTATTCAAATCTGTTCCCATAAAAAAAACTTATCTACATCTTGGATGGCCTGAGAGTGAGTACATTTTCAGCTAATGTTCTATTTTTTTTTTTTTTTTGGCGAACTATTCCTTTAAGTCAGCAGTGTGAAACAGGCTTAATAGAAGCATCTCCTGTTTTTCCATCAACAATTTAAAATCATTCAGGACTTTCTGTTCTACTGAAGATACTTTCAGTGAGCAAATTTTTGAAAAGTACATTTTAAATTCTGATTTAGGATATTAAAGACTTTTCTGAAAATAAATTTTAAAATATAGCTGCAAGCAGTGATTACTGGGGTTCAAGAGCTTTAGGTATTTAAGCACATAAGGAAAAATACATTACATATTATTTAGCAAGCATGTAACCACCTAAATCAATTATTAAAAAAGCATTTTTGTCAAATCCAGGTGATTTACCATAGAAATATGATGTTTTTATAACGTTTATGATTGTTATAGCGCCAGCTGTGGTCCAATCTCCCTGAAACTTTGCGTGCTGGTTTAGAATCACCTGTCGCATGTGCTCAGCGGGTTTCGTGAAGTTTTGAGTTTTCGAGGCTTTATAGGCTTTGGGGCATATTTGGATAGGCCCCTTTTCTAAAGGACCCCATTATAGCTTCCCAAAGGGTAAATGTAGTCCAGCGATGGTGTAGATCCCAGTTCTTGGCTGGATGACTGATGTCAGCCGTGTGTAACAGCAGAGACAGAGCATTGGGTTTGTCAATTCTGAGGAAAACACACACCAATCCCACTGATAAATACGTGTTTGCTCTAATCTAATCTAATCTAATATAATCTAATCTAATCTAATATAATACATTCTTATTTTATTTATTGAAGTTATTTATTTATGGGGATTGCAGTGTCTATTACTAAAATTTAAGACAGATACAGCTAAAAAATCAGCAGCATTTATTTGAACAAGATTTATCTCACAATAAACATTAAAATTAAACAGACAAATGTATAAAATAAAAATAATAAAATACAGTTTGTTACAGTCAATAGCTAAGGATAAACATTTCCAATGAATCAAAGAAAAAAGAAAAAAGAAAATCAAACAAATATTTTCTTTGATTTATTGGAAATAAAATATAATTCTATCTCGATCAGTATTTGTTTCTAGCTTTCCAGCGAAAATATTTTGAAAAAAAAAAAAAAATCAATAAACCATATAGAAGCAAAATTGTGTAAGAAATTATGAATGGGAGGGAATGAACTTTGAAGCTGGAAGACATTATTTATATATTTTTTAAAATAATTTAAGACCAACAGGTGATAAATGTGCTTTTCTGACACATGACAATAACATTTACTTTTGTGTCATTTTCCTGCATTAAAAACGGCTCCTTCTGAGAAAAAGACCACAGTAATCTTTTAGTTTCAGGAGATTCAGAGAAAAAAAAACATCAAATTGTGCTCAGATTTTGCAATCAAGTATGCAATCAAAAGACAGGATCTCAATATGAACTCCTCAATAAGAATTTCTAATCAAATTAATTCAGTTAAGCTGTATTCATTTTATATTATTGTATGTATCATTTGTCTATTTGGTGCTCAAACTTCATCGGCCAACGGTGGCCATGTTTTTTTTTTAGATACGCAAATGTCCCCATAGACACTTGTGGCACTTTGGACCAAGACCGTGCACAGCGATTTTCATGTTGATAGGACAAATGGTTACCTAGTTATAGCCATTTTTATGTTTCATAAAAGCGCCACCAAGTGGCCAATCTCCATGATTTTTTTTCCTGTGACCTCAGCTTGAGCTCTTACATAACTGTTCCGAGTTTGCGAAGAGATCTCATTCCGTTCAGGAGTTTTAGGCATTTTACTAAAAGTGGCCCTGCCCCCTCCGAACGTTTTGGCGTCCCTTTGCGATGGTGAGTCGAAAGCTCAACTTTTTTATATATAATTATTTGTGACGGTGAGTCAAAAGTTCAACTTTTTTTTGATAATTATTGATATTCACTCTCCATAAAATCTTTCTGCACTGGTTTGGTTACGATCGGGCGAAAAACCTAGGACTAGTTCGCAAAAAAAGGTTTTGAAAAAAATGCGAAATACCCCAAATTTCCCCAGGCTCACGATTGAATCTGAGGCATGCGTTTTGTGAGCGATTTCTTACTTTCGATTGCTGTAGCGCCCCCGTCAGGCCGATTGGGGTGAGCCTCGGTCACGTTGCTATGCGCTTGAACCCCTAATTCAGTATATTTTGCTTACTCCTTTGGGAAATAGATTCAGAGAAAAAAAAACATCAAATTGTGCTCAGATTTTGCAATCAAGTATGCAATCAAAAGACAGGATCTCAATATGAACTCCTCAATAAGAATTTCTAATCAAATTAATTCAGTTAAGCTGTATTCATTTTATATTATTGTATGTATCATTTGTCTATTTTTATTTCTCCACAGAAACAGTAGAAGAAACATCTTGAGAAACATCCATCTCCATCACGTCTCTCCAGCTAAGAAAGAGCAAACTCTAAGCAATAACACCTGGCTCTGGGGAGACACAGATGAGGCAGGAGGTGACAGACAACAGTGAAGCATGTTTGTTGTAAAGTTTTCTCACCCCTCGGGCTGCTGGAGGAAATTCTTCATGGCTTTGACCTGCTGAAAGTGGCAGGACATGTCAGTGGCCAAAACCATCTCGACCACGAGCGCCCTGAGCTCTCTAAAAACACAAGCACACAAAACAACTGCACTCAATCTCTTCATTGGAGAAAATAACCGTGTTCCGCTTCAAAGTGTGAGGATAATAGTTTTCTCTCTGAATGAGAAACGAATCGTTTCTGTCTGTATTGCAGTAAAACTTCATCAGACTTTTCTTTCTCTGTTGTGATTAGTTGAGAATAGCACAGAGAGAATGGTAAAACACTTCTTTCAGTATTTTCTGCAGGCTGTTTCTTCAACTCTGAGAACTTTGCCCCTTAAAAATATAACACCGTTACACTCGTACTTCTTTATATGTGACCCTGTCATAAGTAGCACGGGTATTTTTGTGGCAATAGCCTAAAATACATTGTATGGGTCAAAATGATCCAAAAATCATTAGGACATTAAGTAAAGATCATGTTCCATGAAGATATTTTGTAAATTTCGTACCGTAAATATATCAAAACTTAATTTTTGATAAGCAATATGCATTGCTAAGAACTTCATTTGGACAACTTTAAAGGCAATTTTCTCAATATTTAGATTGTTTTGCATTCCAGATTGATTCCAGATTTTCAAATAGTTGTATCTCGGCCAAATATTGTCCTATCCTAACAAACCATACATCAGTTGAAAGCTCAATTTAAAAAATAATAGGTGCTCAAACTTCATCGGCCAATGGTGGCCATGTTTTTTTTTGAGATATGCAAATGTCCCCATAGACACTTGTGGCACTTTGGACCAAGACCGTGCACAGCGATTTTCATGTTGATAGGACAAATGGTTACCTAGTTATAGCCATTTTTATGTTTCTTCCCTCTTATAGCGCCACCAAGTGGCCAATCTCCATTATTTGTTTCCTGTGACCTCAGCTTGAGCTCTTACATAACTGTTCCGAGTTTGGTGAAGATATCTCACTCCGTTCAGGAGTTATAGGCATTTTACTAAAAGTGGCCCTGCCCCCTCCGAACGTTTTGGCGTCCCTTTGCGATGGTGAGTCGAAAGCTCAACTTTTTTATATATAATTATTGATATTCACTCTCCAGAAAATATTGTCCTATCCTAACAAACCATACATCAGTTGAAAGCTCAATTTCAAAAATAATAGGTGCTCAAACTTCATCGGCCAATGGTGGCCATGTTTTTTTTTGAGATATGCAAATATCCCCATAGACACTTGTGGCACTTTGGACCAAGACCGTGCACAGCGATTTTCATGTTGATAGGACAAATGGTTACCTAGTTATAGCCATTTTTATGTTTCTTCCCTCTTATAGCGCCACCAAGTGGCCAATCTCCATTATTTGTTTCCTGTGACCTCAGCTTGAGCTCTTACATAACTGTTCCGAGTTTGGTGAAGATATCTCACTCCGTTCAGGAGTTATAGGCATTTTACTAAAAGTGGCCCTGCCCCCTCCGAACGTTTTGGCGTCCCTTTGCGATGGTGAGTCGAAAGCTCAACTTTTTTATATATAATTATTGATATTCACTCTCCAGAGAATCGTTCTGCGCTGGTTTGGTTACGATCGGGCGAAAAACCTAGGACTAGTTCGCAAAAGTAGGTTTTGAAAAAAAAAGCGAAATACCCGAAAATTTCGCCAGGCTCACGATCGAATCTGAGGCGTGCGTTTTGTGAGCGATTTCGTACTTTGAATGCTGTAGCGCCCCCGTCAGGCCGATTGGGGTGAGCCTCGGTCACGTTGTAGGCGGTATGAGTACTACCATCCCTCCAAGTTTCAAGTCTAGTTTAGTAAAAAAGTTTAGTAAAATACCTATAAAAATATAACACCGTTACACTCGTACTTCTTTATATGTGACCCTGGAGCACAAAAGCAGTCTTAAGTCGCTGGGGTATTTTTGTAGCAATAGCCTAAAATACATTGTATGGGTCCAAATGATCGATTTTTCTTTTATGCCAAAAATCATTAGGATATTAGGTAAAGATCATGTTCCATGAAGATATTTTATAAATTTCGTACTGTAAATATATCAAAACATAATTTTTGATAAGCAATATGCATTGCTAAGAACTTCATTTGGACAGCTTTAAAGGCGTTTTTCTCAGTATTTAGATTTTTTTGCACCTTCAGATTCCAGATTTTCAAATAGTTGTATCTCGGCCAAATATTGTCCCATCATAACAAACCAATTTCAAATCAATTTCAAAACATTGACCCTTATGACTGGTTTTGTGGTCCAGGGTCACATATTAGTAATTTTTCTAAACTGAAATGGTAGCCTTTTACATCTTAAACACCTATCTATCTATCTATCTATCTATCTATCTATCTATCTATCTATCTATCTATCTATCTATCTATCTATCTATCTATCTATCACACACACACATATATATATTGCGTGTGTGTGTGGGTACCCAAATACTGGGTACTTTTATATACCAGTGGTAATTTTTATTTTTTTTTGTTAAATGAGCATCACTTTATAATGGTCTTGGAAGCTATTTCTTTATGCATTTTTGCATATACATATATATGCAAAAATGCATAAAGAAATAGCTTCCAAGCTATTTTTTGTCATTTAACAAAAAAAAATAATAATTACCACTGGTATATAAAAGTACCCAGTTACGAAGACAGTTCACAATACTGTAACTGGAGAAAATGTATTGTCAGTTAGCAATTTTTCTGTTCTCTGGAAACAAAAGAAGTGAGACAATGATGGAAATGATTAGATGCTGGATGTGAAATCCTGCTGTACCTCCAGTCATCTTTGGAGAGGTTGTACAGGATGTTCATCTCGTCGTCGTCCTGCAGCAGTCGATACGCCGCGCTGACGTGATGACTCTCCAGCACAGAGCGGTCGTTGTACAGGATGGCCGTGTCCGACCTGCAGGAATCAATGTAAACTCAGTTCTAACAGAACTGAATCTGATTTATATTTTACATTTACAGATGACATACAGTGTCCTGCAGTGTGACTCTTTTAGCTTTTTTCTACTGTAATTATTGTATGCTGTTTTAAGCTCATATTAAACTGGAGAACACGTGAGTTGCACAAGGCATTGCAAGTGGTTTTAAGTGTGTTGCTAGGTGTTTGCATACTGGACCAAGTCAAAGAAGTGTAAAGGTCTCTGCACACTGAGTCCGAATTTTTCATCCGAAATTTTTGCATGTTGAAAAATAAATACGACCTCATGTTGTGTCAATCACGTTCACACACTGCCTTTGAAACTTTCGTCCGTCATAAAAAAAATTCGGACCAGGTTCGATTTTCTGCATTTTCGCATACGTAGCAAGCATTTTGATAGGAAAGGATGACGAATACGAAAAAAAACCCCGAAAAAATGCATACGAAAATTTCGGACTCAGTGTGCAAGGACCTTAAGTCTCAATGATATTATTTAGTTTCTCTCATACTGTGTAATCAAATACTTTTGATTATAAAGGAAAAGTACTATCATTCAAAAGTCGGGTCAGTAAGATTTTTATTTAATTTTTTTAAGAAATTAATATTTTTATACAGCAAGGATATTAAATTGATCAAAATTGGCAGAAAAGACATTTATATGTTACAAAAGATTTCCGTTTCAAATAAATGGTGCTCTTGTACTTTCTATTCATCAAAGAATGAAAAATATGTATCACGCTTTCCACAAAAAAATATTAAAAAGCGTAACTTTTTTCAACACTGATGATAATAATAAGAAATGTTTCTTGGCAGCAAATCAAAATATTAGAATGATTTCTGAATGATCATGTGACACTGAAGACTGGAGTAATGATGCTGAAAATTCAGCTTTGACCACAGGAATAAATTACAATTTAAAACATGTTCAAATAGAAAACGGTTATTTTAAATTGTAATAATATTTCACAATATTGCTGCACTTTTGATCAAATAAATGCAGCCTTGGGAAGCATAAGAGACTTCCTTAAAACAAATCCTTACTGAGCCCAAACTGAACAGTAGTGTATACAAACTAACCCACAGACCATTATTTTAGTCCCATCTCCCCATTCTTCTCATTTGTCCCAGGTTATGTTTGATAGTAGTTTGATTCGGTCGGTTGAGGTGCAGGAGTCTGATGGATGACTCAGCCAGCGGTGCTCATGCGTTACCTGGTCTGGATGTGGAAGTTGTTTGTGGTCCCGGTGTGTTCGTAGTCGTGGACGGCAGCAGCGAAAAGCATTGCAAAAATCTCCAACTCTGTCAGCCAGTGCTGGAGAGGGAAAACAATGTCACATGAGAAATCTTTAACATCTGAATGAAGTTAAATCAAGAGCAGTTGAAGCCTTGATGAAATCTCCAATTTCTAAGCTGTTTCTTCAAACAAAAAGTAATCCCGTGCGTATTTCCTCCAAAGTTTCAAAAAAGATCTCAATAATGTTTGTGCTCACATACTAGAATAGATATAGATACAAGGTAGATCTCAATATGAACCCAAATATCTCTAGCACATTTAGGTCTGTACACTTACTTTATGACAACTGAATAATTTGTGTCTATGTTCATTTCTCCTTAAGAATTTTAGAAGAAACATCTGAAACAACGTTGGTTTAAATAATGCATTACTGACATAATAACAATGAGGTTAAATGGAGAGCAAATGGAGACTTCTGCTAAAATTCCCACCTTTTAAGATGGGATCTTGAGGGTCCCAGTAATCTCAGAAAAGATCTTAATAATGCCCCAAAATGTGCTCAGATTTGAGAACATAGATCATTGAGATTCATAGATCTCAATGTACACCTCTATACTCTTAATCTATTTCAATATTGACACATTTATGTCTATTTTTATTTCTCCTAAAAAACTTAGAAGAAACATCTGAGAAAAAAAGTTTCTTTTTAAATAAAACCCGACTTTGAACTCAGTTTAGACTTTATATCGAAGCAATAAAAAAATTGTGATTTCAATCTGTATACACCTATTTTTGAACAACTATTGACTCATTTGTGTCCATTTTTATTACTCCTCAAAAACTTCAGAAGAAACATGATATTTAAATAATGACGACAATGAAGTTAAGCAGAGAGCAGGAGACTTCTGCTAAAATTCTTGATGAAAAAGGAAAACATCTCAATAATGTCTCAAAATGTGTTCAGATTAGCCAAGACACCAAAGTTTACAACAAGAACATTTCTACCACATTCAGCTCTACACTCTTACTTTATGACAACAATATTGACAATATTGACTCATGTCTATTTTTATTTCTCCTTAAGAATTTTAGAAGAAACATCTGCGTCAAAGCTGATATTTAATTTAAACATGACTGAGAACTCAATTAAGTATTTATTTCGGAACAATAAAATAAAATAAATAAAAATATTATGTGGCTTCAAATTGAAATTCATCTCTATACCCTTAACTTTATGACAGCTATTGACTCATCTTTGTCTATTTGTATTTTAGAAGAAACGGAAGAAGAAAGAATTTTATAAGAAAAACCTGAGACAAAGTTGATCTTTATATTAAACATGACTGAGAACTCAATGAAATCTTTATTTCGGAGCAATAAAAAACTTTTGTGGTTTAATTCTTGGAAAGAAAAGCACAGAGTCAGTCGCAGTAGAATAAGTGAAGTGACGTGTGACGTCTGGCCAAGTATGGTGACCCATACTCGGAATTAGTGCTCTGCATTTACCCATCCAAAGTGCACACACACAGCAGTGAACACACACAAACCGTGAACACACACCCGGAGCAGTGGGCAACCATTTTTGCTGCGGCGCCCGGGGAGCAGTTGGGGTTCGGTGCCTTGCTCAAGGGCACCTCAGTCGTGGTATTGAAGGTGGGAGAGAGTGCGGTACATTCACTCCCCCCACCTACAATCCCTGCCGGTACGAGACTCGAACCCACAACCTTTGGGTTATGAGTCCGACTCTCTAACCATTAGGCCATGACTTCCCGAATAATGAACATATGTTGACAGACAGGCTCGGAAGGATGCCGAGCTCTCAGCTGCTCGCCGCATTCCCGCAGGACTTCATCTTAATATTTAATCACCTATTAGAAAGACTCCAGTTCACTTCAGTTTGGTGTAAAATGACACCATCTCACCTCATTTGTCTTGAGTCACACGTGCAGAACAAACACTGAAGTGCATTGTGATGAAAGAAGTGGCTCTCTGTGAGAAAGCATTAATTGTGTGATGGCTAGTCAGATGGAAGATAAAGGGATTTGTGTCAAGACGCTTATATGAGTAAACAGCGAGAGTATTCTCTCTGTTTCTCTTCAGGAACTGCTGCTTTATGATTGGCCTGGTGATTGTTCATTAAAAAGCTCAAGGTGTGTGTGTGTGTGTGTGTGTTTGTCAGCAGAATTAATGATTACGCCGCTGGGTTTCTGTGCAGTTACTCTTGAGTTTGTGCCCACAGGCTTCAACATGTCACAGTAACATTATCAAGATGATTAACACCGTATCTGCATTGAGAGCGAGTGGAACAACGCAACATTAGATCATTATAATCAACAAGCCGGTCTATGCAGCAAGAGCTCGTGTGAAGCGTTAATAATGAAAGGAAGCGATTGAGTGATGTTATATTTTGCCGCTGTAAACACGAGATAAGAGTTTACACAAACCTGGCATTGTGAACTTAAACTAGAACTATTAAAACAGTTTTGGTAATTGAAAAAAAATATTAGATGAAAAAAATGTGTTTTAAAAATGACAAAAATTAGAATGTTACCTTAGAAACTAGCTGAAGTACTACAATTACTAAAATAATAGGTTGAAGTAAAAATACTACAACTACAGGTGAACTAAACGATACTACAAACTATACAGAAATACACAAAAACAAACCAACAAAAGTACATAACAAAATTTACTAAAACGTAAACTAAAATTAAAATGAAAACTGTAAGATAATTCAAAATAATAAAAAGACAGCATATAAACAAAACTAAAACAAGAGAAACTGTAAAAAAAATTAAAAAACAGTACATGTATTATAAATAATGAATATGTACATTTTGTATTTATTACTATTACTATAATAAATGAATGTGTATATTTAATTTGGTATATAAATACAGGTGCATCTCAATAAATTAGAATGTCATGGAAAAGTTCATTTATTTCAGTAATTCAACTCAAATTGTGAAACTCGTGTATTAAATAAATTCAATGCACACAGACTGAAGTAGTTTAAGTCTTTGGTTCTTTTAATTGTGATGATTTTGGCTCACATTTAACAAAAACCCACCAATTCACTATCTCAACAAATTAGAATACTTCATAACACCAATAAAAAAAAACATTTTTAGTGAATTGTTGGCCTTCTGGAAAGTATGTTAATTTACTGTACATGTACTCAATACTTGGTAGGGGCTCCTTTTGCATGAATTACTGCATCAATGCGGCGTGGCATGGAGGCAATCAGCCTGTGGCACTGCTCAGGTGTAATGGAAGCCCAGGTTGCTTTGATAGCGGCCTTCAGCTCATCTGCATTGTTGGTTTCTATTTAATACAATACATTTTTTATTATAAACGCCTCTCTAGTTTCACCTGTCATCTTGGATGGATTATTTCACTGAGCTTTTGCAGTGCATAGTGGGAATGTCTTCCTCGTGAAGAAAAACATTAGAATGTGCACAAAAGATCTTAGAAGGGAGTATAATTATTATTATATTAGCTCAGTCCTGACCTGTTGACCTCTTGACCTACTTCACTGCAGTCGTGGCCCTCGAACGTGATCTCTCTGTGTTTGTGTGCTTCATCTTACCACCATCCCCGTCTTGAGGAGCAGGTAGTGCACGGTCTGTGTGACGTCGGCTGCGTGTATCAGGTTGTGGTAGGGGTTTTTATGTTTGCTGTATCCCACTTCCAGAGCCTCCACAAATGAGACCAGCGCTGAGACGGGGATCTGTCAGAGATACGGAGTTAACAACTCTGAAAAAGATCATTACGGCCCTCAACTCTCACTTCGACCAGAGCTGTTTCACCTTGAAGCGGCTGATGAGGTCGTATCGGGTGAGGAGCTCGTAAAAGATGAATTTGAGAGCGTGGTCACCGCTCGACTCGTTCAGAGCAAATACATCAAAAGACCACTTATCCACATTCTGAGAAGAAGAAACACAGAAACTAACTCAGATACAGCACACAGATGTTGAGTCAACTATTTCTTTAAGAGTAAATCATATTTTGGGCACTTTTATGTCCCTATAACTTTTCTTTGTTGTTATATTAAAACTGCCTAAGAAACACTGTATTATGCCTTCATTTATATTTTAAAGTGCCTTTTATGTATGTTTTGTATCATTCTACCCTTGCCTCAGGCTGGACTTTCAGTCTTGAAAATACATCATCATCCATTACTATGTGAAATTGACACTATATATACAGTGGGTACGGAAAGTATTCAGACCCCCTTAAATTTTTCACTCTTTTATATTATTATAATAAAATTATATACATTTATATAAAATACAAAATGAAATCAAATACATAATAAACAATAATTACAAAATAAATAAATATAAAAGGAATAAATTAAATAATTGTATTCATATTTTTATCAATATATTTTATTTCATTAGTTTAATTCATTTTGATAATTTAATTATTTAAATACTATTAAAATAATCAATCATTAATCATTTTATTTAATTGTAATAATAATAAATTAATACAAATATTGTATTAATATCAATATTAATGATGTATTATATTACAAAAATATACTATTTAAAAATAATTAATAATAGAATTGTCATAATAGACGACAACATTTTTTAAATGAATGAATGAATGAATGAATGGATTTTTGTGTATCATTTGCCATTCAGCTATAATGTTGTCAAATTAAATATAATTTTTTTATTGTGTGTATTTTGGTTACATCAGTTGCTAGCTATGAAATTACTCTTGGCAAGAGAAAGGAGTCAACCATATTTCATTTTCAATTTAATTCCACCACAGAATGCTATTATACACAGTACATTATCTGAGATATGGTGGAAATGTTCTTGACTTTCAGGGGAAAATGACAAAAATGACAGAAATCTTCTGTGATGCATGTATATCTACTCTTGTTAGTGAACAAATAAGAAGTGCATGAAAAACTACAAGAGAAAAAGTATGTTTTGAAAGTTTCTTTTCTGAAGTCCACATGGCCAAAAGTAGCCAGAGTTGAAGAAACATTTGTTTTGGTTTTTCATTTTTTTGGGTGATACTTTGAGAGCAAAACCAAGAGAAAGAAGCTGAGAGATAAAACACTGTCTTTTTCTAAGAATGCAGGAGTGTGTGTGTGTGTTTTACCTTAAGCACTGCTATGACAGATGGAGGGTAACTCAGTCCCACCATGTTAGAGGTTCTCCGGTACATTCTGTTAGAACCAGATAAAAACATCAAGTGAAAGCGCCAGCACAGACCACAGGCTCTAATCTTCACCTACAAAACCCCAGAACATCACATGTAGAGGACAACCTGCACTTTCTTTAAGGAAATGCTTTGTCAAAGCAATTTATTTGTGCAGTGTTGCCTGAAATGCATTAGAATTTAATGAAATGATGCTAACGGGTGAGAGCGAGAGAGAGAGCGATATAAGAGAGTTATTCAGACTTGTCAGGAGGATGATGTATATGCATACGCTGACTCACTCTGAGCTCAACATATAGATTTATAATCATTTCACAGAAGACTATAATGCTGCCTGGCAAGGGGAAAAAACTGAAGAAGAAGCGGATTGATTCATGAGCACTAGAAGATTTTGGCTTGTGTTCTAAGTTTAAATGTAAAAAAAAAACAGCTAGATGTGATTTATTTTCCAGTGTTGATATTATTAACTAAAAATAAAATTATTAATATTTTAATATTATATGTAACTATTCAAATCAGTTTTGGTCATTGAAATAAAGCTGAAATAGAATAAATATTAGATAAATAAAAAAACATTGAAATGTTGCCTAGCTGAAATAAATAAAAAGTTTAGGTTGAAGTACTAAAACCACCAAAACTAAAGCCGAAATAAACAAATTATAGCTCAATGGAAAGTAAAAAGTAAGGTGGTGCAAAGTAGGGTAGTATATAGATAATATATAATATATTTAATTAAACTAAAGCCCAAATTATAGCTCAATGGAAAGTAAAAAGTAAGGTGGTGCAAAGTAGGGTAGTATATAGATAATATATAAATATATAATTTATATATATAATTATTAATATATTAATATAATTAAGAAATTAGAAATATTTAATTTGATGGATAAAGAAATTATA